ACCTCTACCGCTGTCTCCAAAGCCCCCTCTTCCCGACCTATCATACCTCCACCACCGATTCCACCACAACCCATAGCTCCACGCCCTAAGGCCCCTCTCACAGAACCTCCATGACCTGGAACACCACCTCTTTTTAAGCCCATTCTGGGAGCTAGGGCTCATCCTCCTCGGAGCGGGTTTTGACCTCGAAACGACTTCCAGCCCCTAAGCAGGGTCCTGGTGGCATGTCCCACACTGCCACCACATGTCCCACACACAGTCCACCTGGGGGTGGGGGGGGCAAGCCTCTCTGAATTATAGGTAGGCCTCTTCCCCCAATCGCTCCCCTGGGTCGACCTATATGTACCTGGATGTTACTCTTACCCAGGCCCTGCTTTAAGCTCTTCTGCTTAAGCTTTAATGCTGCCTGGACCGAGGGTCTATTCCCCATCTGCTGGGTCAGTCTTCTGTTTCTGGCACTGGCTGCTGCTGCTGCATAGAAGCACGAATATTCACTGGCATCGGCTGTTTGTTCTTCAGCATATTAGTAAAGTGCTCATTTAGAGACATCTTGGTGGTGCATTTTAGGACAACTTCCAGCGCCGACTGCGCAGCTATCTTCAAATCCGGAGAATCAAAGGAGACGGAAGCCAGGGCCACACGGCTGCAGCAGGCTGACCCCGGCTGGCCGAACCTGAGCTGACCGCTTGGGTTAACTAGCTGGGCAGTTGGGTTAGACGCTTAAAAAGTATGATGTGAAGCTCACTCGTTGTGGGTTGGGTATCTATCCTCCCTCTCGTCAGGCCTGCCCTGCCCTTTCCTGCCTTTCGTCTGTGCCATCACAGCCGGCGCTGCCAACTCCTGCTTGGTGTCCAAAACAAAATGATTGCCCCAGAATTTTATTTACAATGGGTTTGCATCCTACATTTTTGATGCTATGCATTTGTGTAGCACGAATTCAAATTGGTCTTCCTTTCCTCTCAGCGTCACCCCACCCCCACCCCCGGGGTGAAATCTGAAGGATCAGAGAAGTAGAGCGGCCAGCCACTGGAATCCTTACCTCTACCAATGCTCACACCAAAGGGGCGATTCTGTCCCTAAGAATCCTCAGACTGAATGCCTTGAGCTTCTGTCTCCTCCCATCTTATATTCCTCTTTCTGCCCAGTCGTATTCTCCTGTCTCCACCTCTCTAGTGCTGGGATTAAAGGCGTGCCATCCCAAGTGCTGGGACCACCTTTGTGTGAGCTCCGTTTCTCTTTTAGACAGATTCAATCTGGTGTACCCCAGGGAACTCACAGAGATCCATCTGCCTCCGTCTCCTGAGTGCTGGAATTAAAGGTGTGTGCCCCTACTGCCTGGTCTGTATGGCTAACTAGTGGCTTAGCTCTGCACTCTGGTCTTCAGGCAAGCTTTATTTGTTATAGCGTAAACAAAATATCATCACACATTTGTCTGCTTATTTTTTTTTTTACTTCCTACATATCTGGTTATATCAAAGATGAAATGATTAAATTTGGTATTCTTTGAAATCCTAATACCTTTTGTTTATTTATTTTGCCATTTTTTTCACTACCCAACCCCATAATGCCCTAGACACCAGGTGGGGAGGCTTCAAATGCTCTACCGAGGACTACGTGGGGGACATGCTACCAGGTCCCTGCTTAGGGGCTGGAAGTCGCTCCGAGGTCAAAACCTGCTCTGAGGTGGATGAGCCCTAGCTCCCAGAGTGGGCTTAAAAAGAGGTGGTGTTCAGGTCATGGAGGTTCTGGGAGAGGGGGCCTAGAGCTATGGGTTGTGGTGGAATCGGTGGTGGAGGTATGATAGGTCAGGAAGAGGGGGCTTTGGAGACAGAGGTAGAGGTCGTGGTCGAGAAAGAGGTGCCCTCACTCACCCTGTATTGACCAAGGAGCATCTGGACAACCAATTGGATGCATACATGTCGATAACTAAAGGACACCTGGATGCTGAGTTGGATGCCTACAAGGCACAGACAGATCCTGAACAATGATGGAAGCCTGCCCAACCGCCTGCCTGTTAGACTCTTGTTAAAGTCACCACATCTTTAAAAAGAAGAAAATAACCTTGAGGAAACATGGGAAGAAACCCGATTGATGCCAGAAGGACCTATCCAGAGTGTTATTGGTTGTGTTTGACACTGTTGGCACCTTGACCTTTCCCCCCAATAATTTCCTTATCTAATGAAACCTCACCGCTTACTTGTGGAGTTTGATACAGTTTAATGAGTCCTCAGTTTGCAAAAGAGACAGAACCAGCAAGTAAAATAAATAAGTGATGACTGACTCTGGTTTTCTGAGCATTTTTCTGTCTTTTTCCAGATCAAATAAATTGCTTTTTATTACAGGTCTCCTAAGAAATCAGTTTTTTTTAAAAAAAAGGAAAAAGAATAAAACCTTTAAGACCAAATGTTAAATTCTCCCACAGCTCATTTTCTGCGTCTATCTAGGTGATGGAGTGCTTTCCCCCATCTTTCAGTAAATGAGGTCTGCATTCACTGACTCTCAAATGTCGGAACACCCTGCCTTCCTAAACAAATTCTTCCAATGCCACTTGATTGCAGTCTCTAATATTTTCTCAACAGTTCAGAGCTTACATTCCACATATCTGATTTTTCTGCTCTTGACTGTGGACATAATGCTTTTGGGGTTCTGCCCTGTGTTTGTTGCAATGATGGCTGCAAGCTGGACTGGTCAACAAGTAAATCCCGTCTTCCATCGGCTGCTTCTGTCAGAGTGCTTGTTACAGAAACAGAAATGAAACTGAGTGGACCAGACAAGAATGCAGCCTGTGTGGGACTGGAACAAGGGACAGAGTAAGACCTTCAGCTGCCCTGCCTAGTGTCCGATGCAGCAACATCAGCCAGAGAACAGCTTCCAAAGCATGAGGCAATTGAGATTCAAGCCTCAGCCTCCCACCCCTGGCCCCAAGGTCTCCTGGCCAACTGCTAATGCAAAGGACTCTACAGCGGGGCCCCTGATCGATAGCTGTGTTCGGTAACGTGTGGTGTGTGGATCTCCTCAGTCTGCTCCCAGCTCTACCCCCAACTACCCCCCTCTGTCTTTCTCACTCATCCTCCAAGGCCAGATTCTAAGATTTGAGATTTATTCTCCTGAAGATACAAATAGAGGCCATCTCAAGAGCCAAATATCAATTCTAAATCTCTACTTTAAAAAAAGTTGTTTGGGGAGTTTATACATAAGTGTGCAAGAAAAATATCACCACATATACAGACCTCTATGGTTAGCTAGTGGCAAGCTCCATTCTCTGACCCCTAGTCTGGCTTTATTTGTGCAAGAAAGACATCACCATACATAAGTATACCGTATTTGTATATTTACATCATTTTTGCCCTTCCTTCTCTCCTCCAGCTCCTCCCACGATCCCTCAACCACTGCCTCCCACTTCTAGAATTCTTGACTTCTACACACACACACACACACACACACACACACACACACACACACACGTATACATACACGCACACTCATATACACATGTGTGCATGTAGATATACACTGAGTCCAGTCAGTGCTGTCCTTATTTGCATGCTGAATGGCTTAAAACTTTCTCTGAGAATTTCACATGAGTATCAAATGGGGTGAGGGAGGGGAAGGTCACACTCACCCTTATGTCCCCCTCCAGCTCCCCACAGATCTCCCCACCTTGATCCTGAGTTTGCAGTACAGCAACCCTGCTCTATTGTCAGGTGAGGACCCATCTTGAAGCCGAAGTGTCTACAGATGCTTGAAGCCCTCGTGAACCTGGGATTTATGATTAATCCCAGAGATTGTAACAGGTACTCAATTTTCAGACTTGGAGGGAACACAAGTATTCCTCAGGACCCCTCCTCTCCACCAAGAACTTGCTCTCTCTCTCTCTCTCTCTCTCTCTCTCTCGCTCTCTCTCTCTCTCTCGCTCTCTCTCTCTCTCTCGCTCTCTCTCTCTCTCTCGCTCTCACACACACACACACACAGAGAGAGAGAGAGAGAGAGAGAGAGAGAGAGAGAGACATACACACAAGCCACTTCACAACCCATCCAAGATATTTATTATTTGTAGAAAAACAACGACAACACAGTTTGGAGAAACAGCAAACCATCAGTGAATAGAAGATAACTGCCATGCAGTGCTCAGAACGTTCCACAGCAAAGGAAGAACTCTGTAATATTTGTCACAGGAATTAGGTGGCGACTATAAATGATGGAAAAATAGAAAATAGATACAGAAAGGGAGTGGAGAAGCCCAGCTAGACAGTAGAGCCTGCCTCCACTGTTGAGGCTTAAGGCTGGAAACTGCAGAACATGCCGGTCTCCACACAGCAAGTTTCTTCACTCAGCTTCTACTGAAGGCATCGTCTGTGGTGGGGACACACATGGTCACCAGCAAGTTCATGATTGGTACCAAGAGCCCCTTGGCTTCCTTCTTGTCCCTCCTGATCATTTGACTCTGGGAAAGTCCTTAAACATCGACTTGGGTTCCCAACAGGAACTGCAAACCCTATTCTACAGAAAGGTCAACATGCCTTGCCCTTCCCAGATCCCCTACAAGCATCTTTCAGACTAAACGATCAATACCAGTCATTGGCTTAAGAGATTTCCAGTTCATGCTGGGGGTCCAAGAGCCTAACTCCAAAAGGCTTTGGACTCTGGGGCCGTAGCTGCTGCCTCCGGATCTGGGAAGTGCCTGGGCCCAGAAACTAGCCTCCCCAAGTCACCAGGATGCAGTGTTCTAATATGAGCCAATGGGTTTGTGAGCTGAAGAAAATTTCTAAGACTCAAGGTGTGGTCCAGGAACACCCATGGAAGGGGTCCTGGATCCTGAAGGTTTGGTCTAACAGCCAATGTTAAGGCTTGATCCATTCCAATAAAAGAAATTAGGAGGCACCATGTCCCCTGGCCCTTCTCTTAAAGGCACCACACCCCCTTTCCCCACCCCTGCTTTCTCCCCCAGATACCCTCACATCCATCAGTCTCTGACCACACCTAACTCACCTCCACGAGTCTCAAAGGGCTCCTTGGCGGCGTTCTGCAGCATTGCGTTTTTGCATACCCTTGATGATGAAGACAACCCCGGCAATGATGCCCACTATACCCACAAACAGCCCGAGAGCACACACCAGGTTCTCTTTAGTTTCTGGGAGGGGGGTATGCTCTTCAAACTCTGGGGGAAAGAAATAAAACAGAGGAGCTGTCGATTACTGTGACAGGGGATAACATTGGTGACCACTGTAATGAAGAAGTGAGTTCTGGGAATGGAGAGGCGGCTCTGCATTGAAGAGCACCGGCTGCTCCTGCAGAGGACCTGGGTTCAATGCCAGCTCCCATATGGCAGCTCACAACCGTCCATAGCTCCTGTTGCAGAGTCTCTGACACCCTTTTCTGACCTCTGTGGGCACCGGGCACTTACATGGTGCACAGACACACACATAGGTAAAACACCCATACACATAACTTTTTTTAAAAGTGGAGGAGCCTGCTTAATGAGAGAAGAGAGGCGTGTAAATTGCAACCAACGTTATGAAACACTGTGACCTCTTAGTGTGTGGTGCTGGGAATTGAACTTGAGCCCCCCCCCCCCCCACCCCC